GATGATTAAAATTATTTACAGTTCTTAAAGATATAAACATATAATTCCATCTCGTTATGACATTTTAATCTCTTATAATATTTTAGCTGAAATTTAGTATTCATATTTTTAGATTGTACTTTTGATCTACATAACATGCCTAAATCATTATTTTTACTGAAGATATTAACAGAGTGCGATAAGTTTGAAAGGGTAAACAGTTAATAAATATTGATATATTTTTGTTTTCAGTACAGTAATAAAAAAAATATTAATCTTGATACAACAACTTTTTAATTTTACTTAAATTTAAACACTTACTCTGTTCAAAAAATTTCTGAGAATATTAAATTTTATATGAATGTTCCTTTTATTGCTGTGGTGTTTTGTTCCCTTTCTTTTATCGTATCTTCAGAAATATTAGATTCACACCTTTACAGTTTTTCTAATATATTTTTTAATTGATTGAAATACATTAAAGTCAGAAACTTACGTATCTTTACTACTTCATATTTTGTAAATCTTGTTCATAATTTTACAACTTCTAATAAAAATGATAAAGATATAGAAAAAATTGTATTAGAAATATTCTATAATATATTTTCTCCTTCCTCCTTTTCTTTTTCACTTCAAAGTTCAATGCTTTTATTTTACAGCTTCACCTTTAGTTGTATTGACTCTTTTCCTTCACTAACCTCTAGATTCTTGAAAAATGAAATAACTTTCTTTTCTAAATTTTGAAAATGTTTTTTAGAAAACAGAAATTATTTTCTTAAACTGGGCAACTCTTTCAGTGACTCATTTTTCATATATAAAACAGTCCGACTGGAATTAAGACTTGTTCAAGAATAAAATAAAAATTAATTATAAATTTAGTATATAGTACAGTCTGATTTAGTTTTAAACATAACAACAAAAAGTAAGAAAGTAATTTTTTTTCAGTGTTTTCTGGTAATAATCTGTTTAATTTTCAAATTTCTATTCAAATCACTTTAGTAATTTGAACTGTTTATGCACCATGAAAGAGAGGAACACTCTTGGCTCGTGACTCCGCCTCCCACCATGCTCCGGGTTTTTCTTTTTTAACTTCAATTCTACCTTCTTCTTTTTTAATCAATTGGGTGTGCTATGTGTCAATTTAATTGATAACTCATGGTTAATCTTAAGCTATTTTTTAATAAGTTCATGTTTGTAGGAACACTAAACGAATGGAAAAAAAGAAATCGAAGCTTAGTCTCTTTATAAGTGGAAAAAAAGAAATCGAAGCTTAGTCTCTTTATAAGTAAGTTAGGATTCAGATTAAAGTAAGCTTGATCCTACTACAAAATTTTAATTAATTTTTAAATACAACACTTTTAGTCAGGATCAAAGTTCGACTCGGATTATCCTAGCTTGAAGGTTAACCCGAGTCTACCATGACCGAAGTTTGAGCAGAGTTAACCCGAATAGAAAGTCAAATCAAGTGAGTCTCAACTAAGGTTATAATTGAGTAAGACTGAGATAAAGGTCAAGTCGAGTTGGTAAACCAAAGGTTGTGAAGAGACTCCTAAATTGAAGGTCGAGAGAAGCTAGCTTGAACCAAACCATCATCTCAAACCAAAGATTAAGATGGGTCAGCCTGAATCAAGGATAAGAATGGGCCAACCAAACCAATGATCAAGACAACCCAACTCGAGGTAGGAGTCAAGACGGGTCAACACAAGCATAAAATTGAGATAGGTTAATTATAGTTGAAGGTTGAGAAGGATCAATATGAACTAAAGATCAACACGAGCCAAACTAGACAAAAGGTTGAGATGGACTAACTTCAACCGACGGACGAGACAGACAAAATCGAGCTAGACAAACCTGGCTAAGGATCGAGATAGGCTAGTGTTTGCCAGAGGTAGAGACGGGATGATCTAGAATCAATCGAGATGGGTGGACTCAAGCTAAAAGTTGTTCATTTAGTACATATATTTTTTTTAGTGTTTTCTATTGATAATGTGTTTAATTTTCAAATATGTATTCAATTGAATATTCCTAATGGGCAAAAATTCGTCAATAATATTTAACGACATAAATTGGGATATGTTAGTAATTATCGATGAATATATTTTTCGGTAATAGCATGATTCAAGTACAGGATAGTACCCATGGATTTGTTTGTCGGTAAAATTTGTTAATAAATGTAATGCATGTTTCCAGTGTAGTGAGTTGTATTTTGTGCACTTAGTCAGACTTGACAATCTTACAATATCATATCTCATATGCAAACATGCAATAAAAGTGCAATTTTCCATATACAGGACAATAAGAAAAATTTGCTAATACTAGGTCATGCAAACAAACATCATTTACAATATGTCTATAAGTAATGTATTCACACATAATAAAAAACTATAATAAGTATGTAAAAACATAATTATCAAAATTTAGTCTTATTCTTAAGGGCCTTTTCGAGGATGTTGTTCTTGTTGTTGGGATTGTGACTGAACTGGGGTGTTTTGGAATGGGTTGGGTTGGGTTGCTATCGGGATGGTGTTGGATTGGATTGAGGTTGTTGAAGACAAATTTAGGCATCCGAAGGCAAGAATTTCATTACTAGATTTTGCAAGATTTGAAATTGGCAACTCAAATTTTCATAATCCTAAATACGTGCTTTTAGTCTTTGCCTAAGGTACATAACATCCTGAACATTGATGGAAGAAGATGGTTGGTGTTTGAGGGTACCTCTTCCAGCAATGTAATTAGCAGCAAATTGTCTTGCACCATATAGTCTTACTTTATTTTTTTCCACCAACAACCTCAACCTAGCAATATGTCCTAATGATGTCAATTTGTGCATCATCATTATTCTCATCTGATGCATCAAGACATGATCCTTGCTCAAATCTAGCATGTGAAACTTTACTTTCAAATTCTTCCTATTAAAGAAAAAGAATGAGAAATTAGTTAAATATGGTAAAATTTTAAGTTTAAAGGAAATAAGAATAAAAGTCTTTGCTTATATGTGTCTTGCGAGATCCTTGATTAATAAATTGGTCAGATCCCTTGCGAAGATGAATTTGTTGAAATATCTCATCAACAAACACATATTGTCCCAGCTCTTGTGCTTGTAACAAAATATGTGGTTTGAATTGTAAAAAGAAGAGAAAAACATTGCATTGAATGTTGCCCTTCTAGAGCTTCTCTATCAACATCACATACTCCTCACGACAAGGCCAACCGAGGTCACCACAGGTTGGATTTGCACTTTGGGAGATTTTTTGATTCATGTTTTGGGGAAGAAACTAGAATGAAGAGGAGGGAATATGAAGTTTTAATATCATTTTATCTAGTAACTTATCACCTCTGAATTTTTTTTATCTATATCAGTTAAATTTTTTGATTCTTCGCTTAGATTGGTATTCTCAATAGAACCAAGACTCTCCATTGATTTACTTAATTCACACTTATATTTGAACTTCCTATTAAGTAATCTAGAATTGAACCACCAATTTTTCATATAATTCTCGCTTTCACTACCATTTCTGCGCTTACAAAAAAAGTAACTATAAAAAGAATTATCATTGTATTTGTCTATATCAACAAAAATGCAACTATCAACACAGATTTGAGAACGAAAATAACTATCAATGCAACTATTAATATAATTGTTCCAACTAAAAAGAGTATCATACATTGAATGATTGTAATCACTCTTAATAACAGTATTCAAATAGTTAGAAATAAAAATTGTTCACTTAGAAAAGAATGATTATTGTTAACTTATTACAACAAAATTTACTAACAGACGCATAAGAAAACTTTACTAACAAATATTATAAACAAGTATTTGGTCAACAAGTTTTGATATAAGCTTATCGGTAGATATTTTCATTAATAATAACAAATTTTCAACAAATTTGTATCCGTTAATAATAACTTTTTTTTTATAGTGTAAGTTTTCTAACAAAGAAGACAAAGACTAAAGGGAGAAGACTACTTGAGGATGATGAGTACTGCGTCTCTGTTTTGTGAGGTAAGTTGTTTTTGTTTTTGTTTTAAAAAGAAAAGGGTTTTGAGATATAATAATTTTTTAAATTCTTATTATATTACTCTAAAAGTGATTGGATTTTCAAAAATATCAACCGTATATATAAAAAATTTAAAAAGAATAATTGAGACTATTAAAACCGCAATAAAATAAGATGAAGACATGACCCTTTTGTTTTGTTTGTGGCACAAAACACAATCCATTGACAAAATATAGTGTAATATGTTTAGAACAATTAAGACAATTGATGGTAGAGAGGTAAGTTTTCACATTGCAGGTGGCCCTTGCATTACATATATATGTGACTAATATTATCATTCAAGATTTTCAATGGATGATGTTTTTCCCTTGTTTTTTATTATCTTATTTTTGTATGATTCAAGAACAATATAGTTTATATTCCAACTTTGTTTATCAGTTCAAGCAATTGGGCCTCTTTAATACTGCCCAAATATGGAAATTATGAAGCTCTAACTCTAAATTCTTCTCTCAGTGTGAATCATGCTATCACAGACAATCCCATTGTCTCATTTTTTGACACTATTAATTAATGTTTAATGTGTATATGGTTGTAAACTAATTGCTTTTGAATGTGTATATGATAGCAAACTGACTGTGTTTTAGTTTTAAAGTTTAATGTAATGAATTTGTAAGAATAAAAATATTATAAATTACTAAAATAAATTATTACTATACGGAGACTAATATAATTTGGTTTAGCCATTACTTAAAATAAAAGCTTGACAGATTTTTTTACCATAAACAGCTTTACAGAACGAACGTGACAAGGTTCAAATTGTTGGAGACCATCAGAGTGAGATTTATGAGAGAAAAAAAAAGATTTTTTTTTTCTTACAAGGAATGCAAAGTTCTCTTAACTTATCAGATTCTAAAAATATAACTGCTTTCTGTGGATTTAATTTTTTGTTTTGGATTATTCTGGATGTAACTTTTTTCAGCATCTTAAATATGAAAATTTTCTTTCTTTGGCTAGTTAAATGTGAAAAAGTTAAATTCAAGAATAGTTGGAAAGAGGGTTATTTTTATTTTTTTTGTATATGTTGTTGAAATGGTCATCGTTTTTCACTCCACACAATAAGGTTTTACATCCACAAATTACGGCAAGGATTTCCCATCCTTTGCTTAATATTTTGAGGTCTCTAATCACTTGCCAACCATTTACCATAGCAATCAAATACGTTATAATCTGATTTAAATTACTTTGCTAAGACATATCAAAGACTTTATTCAATCCTCATTTGTCTGAGGTGCAAGGTAATGTGTGCTGTTCTCTCTTGTTGAACTTCTCTTTAATCCTCTGATCTTGGATTAAGGGAAAAACAGAAACACCAGCCAGAAAATTCCCGAGCCTTGTTTTGCATCATTCTTGAGGAGGAAAGCCAAAATGTCATTCACAGGAACTCTTGATAAATGCAAGGCTTGTGATAAGACTGTTTATGTGGTTGACTTGTTAACTCTTGAAGGTACACCTTACCATAAGAACTGCTTCCGATGCAGTCACTGCAAGGGATACCTCACGGTATATAATACTTCTTCCACACCATTTTTTCTTCATCTTCAGTTCTTTTGTTGCCATAATCATGTTTTCTGAATATGTTTGTTATTTTCTCTCATTCTTCTAGTGTTAGTCATTGTGTTTGAATATGCATTCAATAGTTTTTTTCTGGTAACCATGTAATTGGTTAATCTTTGCTGGAGAAACTGACTCACCATCTATAGGGATATATCTGTTGAGAAGTTTCATATCTCCTTACTCAAATAATAGAGAGCTGCTTATATACTTGTATGCCAATTCTTTTTAATATAAAACCTGCTTAACCAAATACCTACAATGCAATTTTTTCATCAAAATCATATAGAATAGAATAATGCAAATACTTTGTTAATTACATGTAATGAAGTACATGGCATTATTGAATTGCATGACTAGTTTTGATCTTGGAATCCTGGTGCTAGAATTTGAAATCTGTAATGACATAAATGGCCAAGCTTGTAGTTTGATATTGATATGACTTGATTCAAGAAAAAATAATTTGTGCAGTTTAAACTTGTTCTTAACTTTGGTGCCAATGGTGCAATTATATTTTGGTCAGATGAGCACATACTCTTCAATGGACGGTGTCCTCTACTGCAAGCCACACTTTGAACAGCTTTTCAAGGAATCTGGCAATTTCAGCAAGAACTTTCAGACAGGTAACATGCTACCATCTTCTGTTCAGCGCATATTTTAGCCAGAATCTCAGTAAGTGCAAATTCATTTGCACCTGTAATTTTCTATTGGCTTGGCTAACATGCTATGCGTTTTTTCATGATAGTAATTGCGGCACAGCAAGGTCTTCTGAAAAACAAAATGAGATGGTACGTTCACTATCCAGCCTAAACACATATTTACTTGGAAATCATCGTCACTATCATCATTATCATTAAGACCTTAATTATAATAAGCTTACGACATCAAAGAGCTACACAACTTTTTTCTTTCAAATGTTCTTGTGTGATTTTCTAACATGTCAATAACAATAATCTTCATTTTCAGAATAAGACCCCCAACCGACTCTCGTCCATGTTCAGTGGAACTCTAGACAAATGTTCAGTTTGCTCAAAAACAGTCTATCCTCTGGAAAAGGTTTGTAGTATCTATCAGAACACCATCTCACAACCCTTCAAGTGCTGAACAATTTGAAATACTATATATCTCGCCGAACAATTTGATATAAGATTTTGTTTTTCCATTACTATGTTTGATGCAAAGGCAATGGCAGAATAGTCTTCACTTCCTTAAAGCATTGAGCCTGAAACATGTGGATGCTGGTTGAGATTGGTCTGCCTGGCTGAAAAATCCACAAAATGATTTGTATTTTGATTAATATCTTAGACACACTTTAGTTTGTTTATAAACTATTTCTCGTCACCTGGATTAGAATTTTGATTGAACTGAACTAGCTAAAAAATTGTTGCTTTGCTGAATAGATGACACTGGAAGGGGAATGCTATCACAAGACTTGCTTTAGGTGTGCTCATGCAGGTTGCCACCTCACACATTCTTCCTATGCTTCCCTAGACGGTGTTCTCTACTGCAGGCACCATTTCCAACAGCTTTTCATGGAGAAAGGGAACTACCATCATGTACTCCAAGCTGCTGCAAACAGGAAGAATGCCACACCGCCTCCTGAACCAGCCGAAGAAGAAGAACCACCAAAGCCAGAGGAAGCTGAACAGGAAGAAACAGAAGAAAAATCCTGAATGAAGCATAGAAAAAATGAGTTGCTTCCTCCCTTTCTTTCAGGGATATACTATAGAAAGTTCTATCGTTAGAGTGTTGGCACTTGGCTCACTCTTGTTTGGTTAAATTCCACTTTCTGACATTTTTTCACAAATTAGTTTATTGTAAGCTAATTTGAGAGGTTTATTTATGTATTTAAACAAAGAGTTGTTCACTACAAGATATTCTTTATTGGAGGTTTTTCTCCTCGTGTAATATCATATCATATCACTACTATGTAATAATAACTTAAGGAACACAATCTAATATGCTTCACAATTTTTTTCTACCCATTTTCACTTCATTTGGGAACGATGCTTCATCAGGATAATGACGTTTCTGAGGATGGTATACATGACAAATGCAAGAACAAAGGAAATTTTCTATATATACACTTACACTATGCTGGAAGAAAGCATATTGAGATATTCATATGTTTAGGGAAAGCATTAAAGGGCGTGGTTTTTCAAACTCTGAAACATCATTAATCCTAATCTTGTAAGGCATTCCATCAAACACTTTTTATGCATCTTAATTATAACATATTATCTAAAGAGGATATTAGTAGACTGAAATATAATTCACTGAACAAAATTAAATAAGAAATTACCTTATCATTCTCCGAACGAGATTTACTATTGGAAATCCTTGAATTTGATGGCTGAATAATTTTTCATCGAGCAAAATAAGTAGTCTAGAGTAAGATTTTTCCTCATGAAATAAGATTGGACCGATCAAATTATCTAGAATTCAAAACTCTTTGAAGAAATTTTAAATCCAAAACCAATCCTTTATTTTGGAGTGAAAATGAATAACATTAAAATTTAAGTTTATGCTAGAACAACATTTATACTTGTTTAAATTCATTCATTTATTAATATTATTGACATAATTTATTTATGAAATAAATTTATTCATTATAAAAATATAAAAAAAATAGATTTATCAATTTCATTTATCTAATTGTTAATTATCCTTTCATAATTTTAAAAATAGATTTCATTCCTTCCTCAATATTAGCAAAATTAACCCAATAACTTTTTTTTTTCATAAACAAATTATCCTTAAATTTGTTATTTAAAATTTCAAAATTAAATTATTAAAATATGTTTTACAATTTTTTAATATTTAAAATATATTATTTTATAAATGGATTATCCATCCGTAAAAAATTCTCAATGAATAGATCAAATAGATAAAACAAATTAGTTAATTTTTAATTATTCAAAATACATTATTAATTTTTATTTAATTTATTCTAATATAAAATAAATTTTTATTTAATCTATTCTAATATAAAATAAATTTTTATTTAATCTATTAGTTTTCTCACCTTTAATTTACATGGTTACTTTTTTCTGCACTATATCATACCTTTTTTTTCCAGTTGGCTGTTATAAATTTCAATCATCCTTTTCTATTTTTACACTAAAATAATTTAATTTTAAATTTTCTATCATAGATAAAAGTATCGTCATATCTACATACAAAGAACTTTGGTATTTACTATCCATATTTATTTTTTAATTTTATCATCTAAATAAAAATATTTTTTAAATTAAAATAACTGTTTCATTAAATTTATTCTCATTTCTTTAAATTTAATTATTTTTTATATTTTATTTTTTTAAATTTAACCATTTTTTTATTATAAAACTACCAACAAAATAAATAAAAACTATTTATAACAAAATTATAAAAATTATTTACGTTTAATTTTATAATTATAATAAAAATAAAAATAATAATTTTATTATCATAAAAAAATAACACACATACTTATACATCTTAATTTAAATTGTTTACTCCAAACAAAAAATATATTTTAGTTATCTGATGATATTTTTCAGTATAAATTTTGTTCTACGATAATTTATCTAAAAATATATTTATTATTAGTTTAGTATATAAAAAAATATAATCCAGGCCCTAAAATACTAGCTAAAAGAAATATCCAATGATATATATTAAATATCCTAAAAAGAAATATTAAATCACATTGAAAGAGTGTACGTAGGTTATTCTACTTCCAAACCTCAAATGGCCGCTCCGGGCACAGAGGAAGCCGTTTGCTTGATTAGCAACCTCACACACTCACTGATGGAAAACAATATCGAAAACAACCTCAATACTCACACAGAACAACAACAACAACATGAAGTTGACTACGAAGAAGAAGAAGAAGATGAAGAGGTTTCCAGTTATTCGGATTCCGAAATCGGTGATGCGTTGGACTGTTTGTATTCGAAGGAGGAAGATGAAGGCTCATCCTTTTCCCTAAATTCGTGGCGCCCCAATGCTCACGGTGGCCACCACCTCCATTCCTCAACTCTTCAGCCTCTCGCCAATCGCAACCAAAAGTACTCCCACCACATTCGAGCTTCACCCTTGGAGGTTTTCTTAGATACCCTTTTACTTCTTTTCATTCATAATTGTCAATAGCTAAATGGGTATCCCTTCGCTCTAAACTTTTTTATTTGTTTGTTCGTTGAAGTTTGGATTTTTATCTTCTTTTTTCATGACTGATCACAAACCATTCTAATTACATAACCGAGGGTTGGGTTTATCAGAAGGGCTATCTTGTTAAATGCGGTGAGTCAAGGTTTGAACCTTGACTGGCTGGAAGATGTGCTAAGATTTAGTGTTTGACAATCTCAGGAACAGGATTGTTCTCAAAGGAGGATACTAGCATAGGGAAATTCTGATTTCGTTTTTTGAAGTTTGGGATAAATTTTCAGTGTTTAGCGGGTTAACGGTATTACTTCATTGTAGCTGTTTTCGTGCCGGTTAATGTGTTATTCTTGATTATCCACTGGAAACATTACAGGGGACATTTTGTTATCTATTAAAGATAATATCTTTTTTTTCAAATTGTGAGCATGGTGCATGAACTTGACTTCTCACTTCTGTTTTATTGGCTCTTTTGTGTTCCTTTAATATGGACTAGTTTGAATTTAAAGTTGTGTGGTGAATGGTGTTTTTTGGAATTCTGTGGGGTATGCTTGTTTGGTTGTAGTTTTAAATTAGGTGGTTCGTGGTGCAGGAGTGGGAAGGGAGGATGAATATTGGCATGTCAAACTCTGTGACGACAGCAATTCGTGGAAGTGTTAGAGAAAGTGCCGTTGGGAAGACTAAAACTACAGATAAAGCAGACCGGGCAACTGTTGAACAGGTGAGTGATGGTGATTTCATGAAATGTGGCACCTAAATTGAGCCTTGTTATTTTGTTGATTCCTTTTTTACAATTATTATGCAAGTAACTCTAAAGTTTCCTCCAGGCAATTGATCAAAGAACGCGCATGGTTTTATACAAGATGATGAACAGAGGTGTCTTTGATGATATCAATGGATGCATTTCAACTGGCAAGGAAGTACGTGATGTGCCAGGAGCTTTTATTTCCTTTTTTTCTCTCAATCTTACTGTTTAGGTTCTAAGACGGTAACATGGTTTGGATAATTGATTATGTGATGTTAAGCCAACATATTTCTGTTTCTTACATTGTTGTTTTCTAACAGGCAAATGTTTATCATGCAACTAAATCTGGTGATCAAGAAGTTGCAATAAAAGTATACAAAACATCTATTTTGGTATTTAAGTAAGTATATCACATATTATCTTGTTTCAGCTTCTTCTGTTATTGTCAATTGTTTTGAAGGCTGAAATGTTAAGAAAGAACTATATAGGTAATCATACCTTTGTTTTCTCTCTTTTAAGGAGAAAACTAGGATTTGTATTCAGGTGTACTTGTATTGCTTGTGTCTATTCTCTCTGTTTACCTATATAATATATTGTTGAAGAAATATAAAAAGCTCTGGGCTAGGGATTATTGATACTTTCTGGATGGATTTTTTTTAATTTATTCATTACATATGCACAGCAAAAAGGCAGCTTGTAATATATTTCTGCTACATTTACTTCAAACAGTTTCTTGATTCAAAGTTATTTTATTTTATGAACTGTGTTCTATGATCTTATGATATCAGGGATAGAGATAGATATGTGCAAGGAGACTTCCGGTTTAGAAATGGATACAGCAAGCATAATCCCAGGAAGATGGTACAAAAATGGGCAGAAAAAGAAATGAGGAATCTTATGAGGTTCACATTTGTTCTTACTTCTTTCACTTCTTCTAAAATTCTTGTAAAAATCAAAGTACTTCCTCCAGCCTGAGTATACGCAAATCTCAACTACTCTATTTAACGAAACTATCTCTAAAAGGCCCCTGTATTTAATTGAAATGTTTACTTCCAATGACTCTCTTTTATTCTTGATATCAAGTTATAAGGAAGGGTAAATTAGGAACAATTGTTATTTTTTAAATAAGTTTAGTATAATTCAAAGCTACTGACATTTTAAATCAGTGTGAATTAGTTTTTTTATTCTTATATCCAAGGTCAAAAGGAGTGCAATACAATGTACTAAATTAGACTGTTAATATAACAAGGGAAGGAGGAATACTTGAAGAGAGAATGAATACGTCATTGTGGTTATTGTTACTTAGCCCTCTTTTTTGTAAGTTATGATTTGAAGTACTATGGACCTTAGATGTATTCTATGATGGCTTGTACTTACCAGGAACTTGTGTAGTCATTTATTTAGGTGAAAATTCTTTTTGTGAACTATGTATTTGTCTTAAAGGTATCAAGTTTTAATGTGCGCTGAAGAGGCAATGTTTTGTTCATCAATTTTAGCATGCACTACCTTTTCTTTTT